ACCCAAGGCGACAATTATTACTGTGTACTCTGTTTACCATTTTGCTCTCCTATTCTCCCTGAGGTGTGTGGTAGCTCCGAACATTTTGCTCAATATCACATCCTCAGGGTTTAAGCCGAGGGCTCCATTTCTGTGACCCGGTGCTTCTTCGGTCACAAAGCAGAGGAATTAAGTTCTTGCAGTGGGTAGGATCACTTCGATAAACTGGGAGGCTGGGATACTCGACCGGAATGGAAATAATATTCAGGAATATACAGAGATAATAAGCTAGCACGAGCAGTGAGCAACAGTCAGCCAGAACTGCAATTCCAACATTTATTAAAACTTTAAATGGTAGTATTCTATGCGTTTTAACATACTGTCGCGTGATTCAGCGTGAGTACAGACGGGGTTTGGATTGGTATTTGGATTTATTTAATTCTTAAACAACTCGTAACTACAAATAATTACGAGTCTGAGTTACACACTCCATAGATCACTGTAACTACAGCACATATAAAACCTTCTCAGTCTTAACTAGCCGTTGTTTGGTGGCGGCTTCCAACGAAAGATGTTCCCCTTCCTCTGAGGTCCCGAACTGCCAGTCAGAATCAGAGTCAGAGTTACTTTACGACTGGCGGGTTACCGTCAATCAGTTCGTCTTGGAGCCAAGCCCCTTCAGACTTACGACCAGTATTTTTTTCAACTGAACACTTGCGGTTATAGTCCTTATGTAACATCGTTTCTAACGAGAGGATGGATCTGTCGTTTACAATTACTGCTGGTCACCGCCAGCGCAGTCATTCTCGGGTCTGAGTCCCGTGGGACTCACGACCAAATTTTAGAGTCTCAGATTCGAGACTCCCCCAGTCTGGAGGACCAGGTCCCCGTATTTATATCCCCACGGAGCACGGTGGCCCAGTTATACCCTCAGGCACTGGGTTCCTTCTTCGTCTTCTACTACGGCTCGCAGGGCTACGGTGGTGTTCGAACCCGCCTCCACACGGGGATACCGAACTGCTCAACTACTGGTCCTCGTTATATAGCCCTGCACGGACCGCACAGAAAACGTATCTTCCATCATTGCGTGTTCTATCGTTTCCGGAGGAACGTGTCCATAGAGCTGTTCCCTAGCAACGGTTGTTGCACTGTCACCTGTTTCCATTTTTTTTTCCTGTGGCGCTACAGCCCCAATATGGGCCTAGGTCTACCTCCATGAAACTCTCCGTTTCACTTCGGTTTACTAGATCTTACACATACGGTAGGACTCCTTGGGCGAGTGATCAGCCCGTCGCAAGGTCTCTACCTATAGACAAACACAGAAAAACGCATACAAACATCCATGTCCTGAGTGGGATTCGAACCCACGACCCCGGCTTCCGAGCGAGCGAAGACAGTGCATGCCTTAGACCGCTCGGCGACCGTGACCGGCTCACCTGTTTACACAGCTGTTACTTTTCAATGGGTCTACATGTCACAATGCTAAAAGCCTGCATTCTGTTCACAGACTGTGTTTGTGTGTTTCGTATGGTTCTCAGAATAATCAACGGTTGTTCCCCTGAGGTACAAACTGATTTTTTTTACATCAGCGTCAAACACGACTCCGTGCTCTGCAATCTCGCGATTACAATCGCTCTGCATTCCGGTACAGCCCAGCTGAAGATTATAGTTTGACCCGGCATGTTCTCATCGGCACTATGACTGAAGTGTGTCCTTATTGCTAGGTTCTGAAATTTAATGGAGAAACGAAAGGAATTGGCGTTTGCAATCACCAACAACAAAGCTCAGGGCCAATCTTTAGAACTGTGCGGGTTAGATCTAGACACGGGTTGCTTCTCACATGGAAAGTTATATGTTGCGTGTTCCAGAGTCGGCAAACCAGACAATCTCTATATCTGTACAGACAATGGAACAACAAAAAATGTTGTATACCCACAAGCATTGTGAAATTAAACATATTAGAAACGTGCGCTTTCTCTTTTCTTTCTTTTCCATTTAACCAGACTGAGCCACAGCAACGCGCGGCCGGGTACCGCTTGTTTAGAATAAATTCAGTCTTTAGAGTTAATATACTTTATGCCTCACTCAAAAACCATAACAATTTGCTATCACCGCTTTACTTACACTGGTCTTTATTAAAAATGTTATACACTGAGGAATCTATGCACATATCAGGATCAAGCAAAATCCAAGCAACAGATATGGACTTTTTAAAGTACTGCGGAGGGAGAAACGGAGTTCCTTATGGGAGCTGGAATTCCAAATCTCGTACCAGAGACAGAAGAGACACGATTACCATTGGCTATGTAAAAGGAACGGCTTGAACAAGGCCACTGAGAAGAGCATTCGAATTCAACTTTAAAGGAAAGAGGCTTATGAGACGACGCAGGCATTGGGAAACAGCAGGAAGGGGAAAGACTTGTCGAGATATCGATAAGGCAGTATCGTAGGACGATAGAAGAGACTGCAGACTCTTCATTCATCGATCCGCATAAAACGTAAGGGATGCTCGGGAAAATGGAGCTAAATATCTACATCTTGTTTACCCTAAAATTCAACAGATAACTCAAATCTGCTGATCAATAAATATTCACAAGTTAAATAAAAATGGTCTAATTATCCTTGTCTATGCAACACGCCATGAAGGGATATGGGGGTGAGGAGTTAAGCTCCAAGCATTCTTAATATAGGCACAAGATAGTGATAAGTTGCTAGTTTCACGCTCAGGCTGCTTTAATCCTATGGAGAAAGCTCATGGTATATGTTCAATACAAGGTTGGGTGGGCTCTGTGCTGTACACTGTGGCGAAAATAAAAATTCCGGTACCTACGAAAAATAATGGACCTTAGAGGTGGGAAGGGATGGTATGGATTGGATTGATCTGGCTCTGGATAGGGGCCAGTGGAGGGATCTTGTGAACACGGTAATGAACCATAAAATGTTGGGAAATTCTTGAGTAGCTGCAGAATTGGTGACTCCTCAAGAAGGGCTCAGCTCCATAAGTATCAAAACTCGAACCCCGGTCATCAGCACCTAGCCAGCCACATTAATGACTCACCCACCTCGGATAAAACTATGAGTATCTACGTGCTTAAACGCCAAGTATGAGTGCATGTACTTTTATTTGCGTAAATTTAAGTTTTATCTTCCGTTTTAGTGCAGTCCACACGTCCTTAACCTCGGCACCAGATGACAGTGAGCGGTAAGCTTCACGTTCAAGTGGCTTCACGAATGCGGAAAGAGTTACACGTACCCAGCGCGTGTACACAGGAAGCTGTGTGGCTCAAAATCAACATGTGCGGTGGCGCGAAGAAAAATTCCTGTCGGAAATCGAAGCCCGGACCCAACAAATAAAACTCCTTTACCTGTAATCCGGTAGTACGGCCCGAGCGACCGCCGTTTGTCTGTGAAGTTAGTGCCAACTTTAGCGGATAAAGGGTGTCACGTGTTCAGCGCAACCGCCCGCAACCAATCGCTAACTTTTCTGCTGCAAAATATAAAAACTGAACAACCATTACCCCAAACATGACTAGTGACTTTAGAAATCAAGTCGATATGACAGAATCTAAGGACTAATTTACGCAATAAATATATATACATCCTTTTATATAATTAAGCACGATTCCATGATGACGGATGGGGGATTCGAGGTGAAGCTCCAGACATTCCTAACCACGACAGGCCTACTAGATGGTGAATTATCAACTCCAGACGTTGGTCTCTCTCTTAAACGGTAAGAGCCCTTGGTATCCACTGGAAAGGTGAAAGGGTGGGCCTGTACAACGGCCTGGATCTCGTGGCGAAGAAATACGCCCTATCTCTGCGGGAATCAAACCGCGGTCGTGAACACAACACACACATTCGGATTTAGTTGGACAGTTATGACTTGAAGTAATTTCCTCGTTGAAATAAAGGGGTTTGCTGGGTACTGGTATTCACGACATCACCCATTGTTTTAGAGATGCCAGTCTGAACAGAAGCCATGCACAGAACTTCTCAGGACAACCTTGATATACAATACAGTTCACATAATTCTATTTAGAACCTGATAGGAAATTCAAAGGATTATAAAAACGAAAACATGCGATACGCATGGGCAGTACGATATGCAACCCAGAAACAATCGATCGCAAAAAAGAATAAAAAACGTTCATAATCACGCACTAACCTCGTGTCACAACCTAACGCCCAAGTGAAGCATTTTTTTGACGTCTATCCACTCTGTCAAAATCAATCGTTCTTGTCATTTCCTTCGAGTTTATTACATAGCTTGTCTGTTTCCCTCTCTCAGACGGATGGGGAGGGCGTCCTCTGTAGCGTCTGTGCGCGCTTGGCGGCACATGCGCCGCTGACTCACCCACCAACTCTGGAGAACACATGGCGAACGGTCGAGATGGCCAGTTTTGAAAGTTAACTTGTACCGCCAACAGCCTGCCTTTAAATGATCTGCTTGGTTCGTGGTGCAGGGTCACACTGGGTCACGGGAACACCTGTCTCTTTGTGAATATGTGACGATGTGAGATCAAAACACTGCAACATTATACGTGTTTGTATTGTGAACAGCAGTCAACCTGTTGATCGTACCGTATATTAAACAACAGGTGTATTTAGTTCGAAATTATATTTATTTAAGGTGTTTCAATTAAGCGGGATAAATGTTGTATTGAAATGGTTAGCTGCGTGTCTTATTCTTCACTATCCTGTATAAAAAAACATTTTCAGTTACTTCCGTTTCCGGTGTACAATTTGGAAGGATAATCAGGTAGCGGTCTTTACAACACTGACTTTTAGATACTGTATGTGTGTGTGTTAATAGAATAAATACCAAATTAAATGTTTAGTGCGATAAGTTTAGCAGAACAGGAGATAAGTACTTCCCTTCTTACGTTAACGAAATATATAAACAAAACAAACTCTATGGCCTGTAGACTGCAAGCGAACTATACCGACCGAGGGACCGCCGCTTGTCGTCGAAGTTAGTGCCAACTTTTGCTGATAGATAGTGTCGCGTGGTCAGCGCAACGTATCCCCACGGCCGATAATCTCAGTTTTCTACACCGGAATATATACCAAAACTTATTCATAATTTAAAGGTTCGTTCTGAGACAAAACTACAATAATAATAATGTAATAATATAGGCCTAGAAGTAAAAAATAAACATCGCGATTTTGTGTAGTATCAAATTATTTCATTATAAATAAGATCCCTTCAAAAGCCTAGATGTCAGAGTACGGTAACATGTCCGTTACCAACGGAACCAACGAGACTGACCCTGACCCTGGATGGAGATACATCGTGGAGGGAATTGAAATGTGCTATTCTCTCATCCTCATTGTACTGGGTACCATAGGAAATTGTATCTCAGTACTTGCTTTCTTCACGACGAAACTCCGGAAACTATCTTCAAGCTTCTATCTAGCAGCGCTGGCAATCAGTGATACAGGGTTTCTCGTAGCTCTGTTTATATCATGGCTCAACTCATTTGGTGTGCCTCTGTTCAATGTTTCTGGTTTGTGTGAGATGAACCTTTACCTGACATACGTGTGCAGTTTCCTCAGTGCATGGTTGGTTGTTGCTTTTACAGTGGAGAGATTTATCGCGGTTCGATATCCGTTACGTAGACCGTCTATGTGCACCGTGGCCCGAGCCAAAGTTGTCCTTGCCAGCCTCACACTTCTAGCTTTAATACTCAACGTTCCTAACTTCTGGCTAACACAAATAGAAATACGCGACAACAAACCTATCTGCAGTTTAAACCCTAAATTTACGGTTTTAGCTACTGTAATTAACCACGTAGATTTCGTAGTTACGTTCATATTACCGTTCTTCGTGATTGCGACGCTGAATGCCTGGATCAGTCTTATGGTATGGCAGCTGGCCCGTATCCGTCGAGTCCTCACGCTGACCGGACCAAGAGAGAGGAATATCCACTGCAGACGTCTGCACCAGCCACACTGTGCAGCGATCCCTCAGCAATCTCTGCGCTCATCCGCCTCGCAGACAAAAGTGACCAAGATGCTGCTTGTGGTCTCGACAGTGTTCCTCTGCCTCAACTTGCCTTCTTACGTCTTAAGGGTGCGAGTCTATGTACAGGTGAGAAACACGTAGTTACATGGACCAGAGTCCTTCTTGAGAAGCTAATAATAATTAAGCTAACTTTAATAGAATCTGGAGGTTCAATACCATGTTCACAGCAGTCCGCAACATGACCCTACTATGGACACTATAATCCAGTCCACGCCTTCATAAAAGGAAAAAAAATCTGTGGCTTTAGTCCGCAAGGGAACTATAACGACCGAGTGACCGCCGCTTGTCGACGAAGTTGGTAAAAACTTTAGCGGACAGAGGATGTCGCGTAGTCAGCGCAACGGATCCCCATGGCCGTTAATTTCGGTTTTTCTAGACCGGAGCCGCTGTTTCCTTGAAATAGCTCCTCAATTATCCTTACGAGGCTGAATGCACCCCGTTCCAGATCCGCTACTTCTTAGAAAATCTGGTAGTGTAGGGAACCGAACACGGAACCTCTGGATCTGTAGTCAGGAACTCTGACCACTAGACCACAGAAGCGGTCAATCCACGCCTTCACATCTAATTTATTTAAGATCCCTCTTAACACTGTTCTTCTATCTACGACTACCTCTCCAAAGTGGTGCCCTTTCTTCAGGTTTTGTTACTAAAATATTTCATCTCAACCAAGCGCGATATATGCCCCGCAAATTTCGTTCTTCCTAACTCGTACATACAAGAGACAAAGAATACATAAAGAATGTTGGTGAGGAAACCTCTTAGGAAACATTAAAACTGAGATGGGAGGATAACATTAAGATAAACCTTATGGCAATATGCTGAAACAATAGTGCCGGCTCAGGATCGTGCCCAGCTGCGGGCTTTACTACTGGCGACCTAGAACCTTCGGATTCTGCTACAGGAAGTTTGTTTTCAGGTGACTTCTCGGAAAACATTAAGTCAACTGGAGGCAGAACTGAAACGCAACTACTGCTCATTACATTTCCGCTAATCATAATGCATTCCGCCTTAAGTTTCTGTCTCTATGAGTCACACACACCGCGCAATTCACAATTTGAAAAGGCGTTTCATTTTAGCTTTCACTCAGAGATGAAGGAAACATAAAATGACACTTAATACACATCTTGAAACAGATACGAATTTGAAAACTGTGTTGCGCTCTCAAATAAATAGTGTTAATATATTTAATAACAAAACTAAATCACGAACCGCTAAGAGTGCATATGAAACAAAAGTTCTAAAACAAGTATCCTGGTTCCTACGCTAGAAATTCTGCCCCTATTTCAATATCAGTCTTTACCTACCTACCTATTCCTGTTGTTCCCACTTGGAGCACAGGACATCCGTGAAACGCTTAGTTTCACTTCAGTTTCTTAATCTTAAGACAGCAGACAGCATTCCTTGGACGGGGGATCAGCCCGTTGCAAGGCCGCTACCTATAAAGGACAACACAAACACAGAACAAACGCATACAGACATTCATGCCTCGAGTAGGATTCGAACCCACGATGCTAGTGTTCGAGAGGGCGAAGACATTTCATGCCTTAGGCCGCGTAACCACTGTGACTGGAATATAATCACTAATCGATCTAAAATAATTATACTAAACGTATTTGAAGTTCAAGTGTAAGAATATAATATCATTCTGGCTTAAACGTAAAGTTTGCGTAAGTTCTACACACTGCTAAAGTACAAAAATAACTGGGAAGAAACGCCATGTCACTAACATTTATCACAACAGCAGCATTATTACTGTCATCGTAACTATAATTAATAAATCAAAAGTAAATATATAAAAACACCTCTCAATATTTTATTTCATATGAAGCTCATACCCTGGCCACTGCTTAAGATCAAGTATGTAAAATACTCGTACAATGCAGAATCTCCACGCATATTCTGAACGCTGAACAGGTTCTATACAATTGTTTCAGAATTCTTTGATCACCCCTTTGGCCAGTTCCCAATCAACATTAAATTTGTCATTAAAGTCTTCAAGTGTATTTAGTATCTTAAAACTGGTTCACATAAACAGTCGCCTGTCTGGAATACATATTTTTCGGCATTCACAAGGTCCCACACATATGTAAAGTAAAAGTAAAGATATCCCTGTAAGAGGCCGTGAAGGCCCATAGGGTTGTGAGACGTTGAGGGTCCCACACTATCTAGACCAGTGATGGGCAAACTTTTTTAGGAGGGGGCCAAAGAAAAAAGAAAAAACTTTAGGCGGGCCAATATAATTTATTAAAAACAATAATGGTAGATTTTACAAAATTCTTGTAATACTAAGCCCTATTAATGATTGAAAGATTATGAAGGAGAATGTGATGAATGAAACTGTGACTGCATTTCCAAAATTTTCTCATAATCTGGTTCGAACTGGGATGCACTGATTCTCAGAAGTGAAGTTAAATGCTCATCTGTCAGTCTGTTTCTAATACAACTCTTTCAAAGTTTCATTGTAGAAAACACCTGTTCACATATATAGGATGAAGCAAACACAGCAGTGACTTTCTGGGCATGAGATATCAGATTTGGGAAACTGGATTTCGACAAGGACTTGTAGAACTCTAATTTTGGGACATTGAGAAACAACTGTTTGAGTTGAGTGTTACACTGCAACTCAATTAATTCAAGTTGCAAGTCCGGTTTCACTGTTTCACAGTCTACAGCCAGTTTTACTCTTCGCTACAAAAATGCCAGCAGCCAGTGCCTCACTCTCAAATGTTAACATAGCATTCCAATGCCATAGTGGATAAGTAAATAAATTAATCTGTGGTCACTAGGCTAAACATAAAAGGGAAGAAAGAAGAAGAAAATAATCCTGAATTATTTGTTTTCCTTAATTCTTCTTCTTTTCATTCGTCAGATTAGGAATCATTTCGCGGGCCGGATAGAACCTATCAGGGGGCCGCGTCTGGCCCGCGGGCCGTAGTTTGCCCACCACTGATCTAGACAATTGGCACAAAGATGGCGGTAAGGTTGTCAGCCTTACGCGCCGGCCGCGTTTTACTCCCCAGGAAAATTATTTAATTAATTCCTGGTACTCATTTCTGTTAGAGGCTGAGTCGACCCCAGGGCCATAGTGCGGCCGGAATGATTAGGTCAACTGAAAAAATCCACCTCATCGGGATTCGATCCTGCGACCTTCCGGCTTGTAGCATAGTACCTCAACCAACTACGCTACCGCGTGCCCCGAACAAATGAGGTATTCCAAAAAAAAAAAAAAAAACAACAACAACAACAACAACAACAACACTTTTTTCCTGAGTTGTGGTAAACTAAAAGGTATTTCCTCTTTAAAATCTGGAAATAGCTTCTCTGCATACTTTATAACTGCCTACCTTCGTCTGGATTTAGTGTTTTCTTTCAGTCCATCCAAGTTAATGCTACTGAATAATTTAATTTAAAACAAGTCACGACTTTCTCTCAGCCTTGCCAGATTATTACTTCATGACTGAATATTACCATTTATCACACGATTATAGCCTAATTCTTAAAGTTCGGATCGTACAACTGATGTAAGAGAGACTCAAAAGAGAAAGAACGGAAATACTGAAAGTGAGACTGATCTCACTGAAACAGCGAGGACACCACCAGACCCTGGTGGACAGAACTACGTATAGACAGGCAAAGGGACTGCACACTGAAACAACAGGCCGCCGAAACAAAAACAAGGACGGTCGAAATATATACTCGTACTGTTTGGACCAGTGGATGACGCCTTAGAGAGGTGTAGAAGTGTATAAAATTCAAGAATAATAAAAAATTTTTAAATTTTAAATTTAAATTCAATTTAAAAAAATTAAATAATAGTTAATTGCAATAGAAAGTGAGTCACAATGTATGTTGAATTGACTAATGTTAGCTGGATCGTAACCGCAGGTAACAGTTTTGGCGAATAGAAGTATCTGATGATGGCCGGTTGGGGCCGAAACATGTAAAAAGTGAAAATTCTAAGGAATAAAGTGGTTGCATTTTTGACAGAACTGTAATATAAATACACCAGATGATGGCCAATTAGGGCCGAAACATGTAGTGTAGAGGAAGAAAAGACAAAGATCTACAAGCAAATAAATTGTTGCATTCACGACGGCATTTGTATTATTACATAGAGAAATATAAATATTCTAGTGAATTCTAATTCCAGACGTTCAAACGTAGGCTGTGTATATACATGCACACGGATGTAAATTCATAATTATTTTCATCTCATACATCAGGTGAAGGACAACAGCCTTAACAATGAGCAACCAAAAACGTTTTTTTTTTTTCATCTGCAGGGTTCAGAATCTAAAAGTCAAGAAGAAAACCTGCCTATTCTCCAGCACGTGGCGCACGTGCTCTTCATTACAAATTTCGGCATCAACTTCGTGCTCTACTGCGTGAGCGGACAGAACTTTCGACGAGCTTTCTGCTCTCTCTGCTGCTCCTGCTGTCCCTGCTCACGACAACGTGCCGACAGCACCCAACTTACCGGTAAGTCTGTCACTAAATCCGAGCGCCGCTCTCTTCAATAAAACTGCATCACCCTGTACTGTATACAGAACTGCAAACCTATTCAACAAACGTTAAATAAAGCACTCAAGAGAGAGAGATGGTTCTGGTCGTAACAATCCAAAAATCTAAACAAAGAAAACTATAAGTTCTGGGGAAAACTAATCGCCTACTTTCCTTCGATACGACATGAACCGCATAGAAAACGACGCGTCCGACAAATTTACTACTGTTGCGCATATACGTTGCCGCGGTAACGTTTAGCGAGCCGTTGCCTAGCAACGATATGCGAAATAAACATACAGATACACACGTAAGATTCGAGGTTTTCACGGCGATGATTATGAAGAAAGCAGTCTTCTGGGATATGGTGTACTATGGGGTACTATTAGTACTTGAACACGCTGGTTCTTCGCTTGCAGATTTTCTTCTACCCTAAAGATGGAGGCAATACATTACTCCGAAACGTCGGTTAACACAATATCTACACGGCACCATATCCCAGAAGACTGCTTTCTTCACCCAGACACAGAGACTGATGGGAGGGATTTGCAAAATATGCAGTTGAGCCGGGCTCAGGTGCCATGATATACATAAAATTTTTATAAAGATTGGTTAAGGCATTCAGAAGTGGGTGTGGTACAGACAGCAAGGTGACCTCATAGCCTTCTTTTATTTTTTCTAAATAAGGAAAATAGACTAAAAACGAAACGTTATATAGCAGACTTATCCATGTATGTTGCTTAGATTCTCTACAGTTTGTCAGAGAAAACACAAAAACACCCCACGGAGAAAATCAAACTCCAGGAAGCAAATTTCTTCTTGGGAAGCTGGTAATCGCTCCTCCCAGTTATGGAATTCTCCGCCTTTTATGTGACTCAATGATTCATTAGAATGTTCACAAAATACCGTCAATCGATCTAACCCTCAGCCCTTGAACCCATTCGCACCCTAACACCCTACTTCTATAAGATCCTTCAATCTACGCAGAGGTATTCGAAATAGTTTGTTTCCTTCAAATTAATCATCTCAATTCTTTATGCATGTCTCATCTCCCCCTATGTACCTTTCATATCACGTGCACTCCCCCTCTTTATTTAATCATTCTCACAGTATGTGTGAGAACCGGGATAGCGGCTACGGGTTGGAGGGCCAAGGTGTCGGAGTTCAAGTCCCGGTAGGGTCAAGAATTTTCACTTCTCTACGTCATTCCGACCAGCCCTGTGGCATATCCGGCCTCCTATCCAATGGGTACCACGGAATATTTCTTCGGGGGTAAAGCGGCTGAGGCGTGAAGCTGACCACCACCTCCAATTAGTGCCGAGGTCAAGAAAACGTGGGTTTATACCTCCAGTTCCCACACGTCTTCATGGCTTAGTGCTTAATTAGTTAAGAACAGGGACCTCACAGTATGTGATGATAAGCGTGAGATATGAAGTCCATAATTAAAGAACTGTCAACATCCTGTTCCTTTTTGCCCCTTTTACGTCCCGAATAGCAGTTACGTGACTAATAAATAAGCAACGTAGTATTTTATTGGGCGATCGGTCGTGTAAACGTTGAGTTCAAAATCTATGTTTCGGACATTTTAGCAAAATTTTTTCGCCATGTAAGATTCAAATCTTACACAATAAATAATCCTTATTAAACAATTCCTACAGGACAAATAATGGCACTGATCTAACAGAAATTTCACTCGATCATCACAGAAAGGTAGATCAAACGCACAAGAAAAACCACTGCAAAAAAATAACTGTACGGAAAAAATGGGGCGAAAAAAAGTTATGGATACTTTTCAACATCAGCATGAAGTGCAACACAGACAGTGATAATGATAAAATCAATTTCGGCACTCGGCTGTACTTCTGGTTTCCTTTGATGTGAAAAGCCACGCCTGCAAACGCCTTAAAACTTTACTGATAACAAAAAAGGGCATAAAACGAATACTAGGCGTACTGTATGCCAAATAACCACTACATGTCGCTAAAATAATAATATCCGTCAAAACAAGAATGTCATAAAAGCTATTGATTACACTCAATCAAAACAGCTACCCCATTTATTTCCCGCGCGGGTAATAGACTACATGTCTCTGACAGAACAAACAACTTGACTCCTAAATGACACCAATGCACACACAACAACACTGCATCAGCGGCTCTGAAAACATCAGGCCCACAACTCGAGAATGTAATATTGTAACTTCAAGTACAAAACTTACGTTACTCCACGTGTTTAATGAGAACTTCTTGCGCCCTACTTCAACTCTCTCTGCTCGGTATATACAGAGGTAAGACAATCCAAACCTCTCCACCATCACAAAAAAGCACTAATAAAAAATCTTACGGCGAAGACAACAATACTGGACCTTCCTATGACTGCCTTTCACCTCCATAGACGTAATTTAAATGCGCTTCATCCCTAATTACGGGTAATTAGAGTCCCATAAAATCACGGTTATTTTTTTCCCCTTGGCACTACAGCCCCAGTGGGCCTAACCGTACCTCCACGAATTTCTCCGTTCCCTTCGGTTTTTCTAGATCTTAGACATACGGTAGGACTCCTTGGGCGGGTAATCAGCTCGTCGCAGGGCCTCTACCTGTACACAAACACAGAAAAAACGCACACAAACATCCATGCCCTGAGTGGGATTCGAAGCCACGATCCCGGTTTCCAAGCGAGCGAAGACAGTGCATGCCTTAGACCGCTGGGCTACCGTGACCGGCACGGTTTTTATTACTGACATATACATTCCTTTGTTCTGGGTTTAACTGAAGCTACACAGCGTCCAGTAGTAGGACGATTCGTTAATACGGAATAGGAAAGTGGTTTGAGATATTATCCCAGAATTTCCTTGGAAGCATTGGGAAAACAACGAAACCCCTACCAACATAATCTGTGTCCCGGCCAAGATTCGAAGCAGGCACCTCTCTAATAGAAATCAGAAGCGATGCTGTCTGAACCAATTTAATAATTTAATGTTTTCTTAGCTCTCGCAGATGCTTTGTGATGCCTTTGGCTTGTATACCCCATCTTGGTGCTGTCATAGGTGTCAGGAGACAGGGACTAGCTCTATCGATTGGGCCCCAAAAAAGTCCTGAGACTGAGACTAGTTCTATCGATTGGGCCCAACTGAGTAGGTTTTACCTGAAGACGGAGACAGAATACAAGTCTCCGAAACGTTGTGCTTTGAAAGATCCGATGATAGGGACTAGATCTATCATTGGGCTCAACTGAGTAAGTTTTACCTAAAGACGGAGACAGAATTGAGTCTCCGAAACGTTGTTTTGAAAAATAAACATCTCTGTGTTTTTAGATACAGACAGGACAATGGATAATGTCCAGAAACATAATATTTGCTGGATACTGACTTATAAAGGGGTACTTCAAGTGTTTATAGTTGAAATGGTTTTAATTGTTCCACCTCAGTCTTGTCAGTGTTGACTGATTCTATCTACAGCATATTAAGACTGACAAAACATATCAGTGTATTTCTTGAGTAGACCTAGCACTTACGTCATAAATACAATTCAATAAGGCGAAGATTAAAATAAAAAAAAAATGAACACTTTTGGATTTTATTTTGTTTGAATTTAAATTTCTTTAACTCATATTAATTATGTAAATTTAATTTCCTCTATATAACAAACGTGAAATATAAGTTGAGCATTCACATTTCACGTCGATAAACAAGTGGCACGTGATGAGCTTAATTAAGCTGATAATACGCCCCACCGGTCAAAATAGTATCTCATCCCTGCTTCTGAACAATAAGTAATTGTGGGCATCATCATGAACGGTACATGTAGCATACGCTGAGGCCGCATTATTCTGGAACTCTGAACGATATGACGAACAAGGAATGATTATTTTTAAAACAAGTACCGAAGAAACTAGGTTTAAGTGTGAAATAGATTCAACTGGCTCAGGATAGATCACAGTGGCGGGTTCATCCGAATATTGTAATGAAAATCGTGAGACAGTAAAATATTGTCTTGCTCCGTGGAAATCTGAACCAAGAATTACTGTGCTGGCGAGGTCCAGCAGCGATTTACCAGACCCGACAGACTAGCTGGATTACTATTAGCTTCTGAAGGAGTATAATCGATGGAACTGGTTAGGTATTTGTATTTGGGAGGGAGGGGGGTGGAGTCCATCTGGGTCCACTCGGCACGGCTGCCACTGATTGGCCTATTGTGCCTGCCTCGGGTGAATATGATAATGGAGAATTTGGTGGAATGAAGATTGGCAGGGGAAACCTAAGTATTCGGAGAAAACCCGCCCCAGCGCCACTTTGTTTACCAAAAACACCACTTGACAAGACCCGTGATCGAACCGCGGCAGCCGCGGTGGGAATCCAGCGACTAACCGCTTGAGCTGTGGCGCGACCTTGGGGAAGGGAGTTACTCGTATTTTATAACGCTGTTAGTAGCTGGACGTCAGTTGACTTTCACCGGATTACAAGGCGTTACGTATCTGGGAACAGAACTCTTCATGCAATGAATTTATCTGCCCTCCTATCACTTCTCTTAACTTCTACATTAAAGACATTACAGCCACAGAATGTAAATTATTAAAATTCCATGAGCTTTTATTGTAGGGAGAACATTCAGGTGCCGGTCACAGCGGCCGCACGGTCTAAGGAATGGCGAATCCCACCTGAGATACGGATGTCTGTGTGCATTTATTCTGTGTTTGTATTGTTCTGTGTCTAGGTAGCGGCCTTCCGATGGGCTGATTCCCAGTCCAAGGAGTCTTATCGACTGTGTATATATTAAGAAACTGAAAAAGGCGACTAAGGTCCAACAAAGGGCTTCAGAGATATAGATAGACAGTACGTTCAGGCAACCATGTGGAGGAATACACACAGCACTGATCAATATTCCAGATACCACAGATTTCTTATGCTTAGTAGAGCAATGGAACTCTCTCTTTGGGGCCGCAGAACTAAGTTACGAAAGAGGGAGAGCTGGCTGCTGAGC